CTGGTTCAGTAACAGGGTTGTTGATTTGTGGAACCAATTGCCGCGTAACATTGTGGAGGTGGGGTCCCTCGATTGTTTCAAGCACGGGTTGGACAAGTATATGAGTGGGATTGGGTGGTTATAGAATAGGAGCTGCCTCGTATGGGCCAATAGGCCTTCTGCAGTTACCTTTGTTCTTATGTTCTTATGTTCTTATGTTCAAACTTGGAAAGCCTCGAGTACCACAGCGATACAGGAGGAGGGAAGTACCATCAACAAACAAAAAAAAAGGTTTAAGATTACCAGACCAGAATACCTAATTACCTCAGATGATAACAGGGATAATAATATAATCCATGTAACATAAGTAGAAGACAAATAGCGAAATGTCCAAATCCTTAAATAATTACTGTATATAAATATGTAGCGGAAAATAAGTTAATGAATATGTGAAGAGTAAATTAGTAAGAAATTAAGTGCCTTAGAGAAGACATGATTAAAGTTGTAACGTGAAACCCAGCGACCGACAATAAAATTTTTCCCGCCCGTGACTGGCCGATAATTCCTAAGTAGGGAAAAACATGCGACTACAGAATTACCCGAAGGGAATCACTTAAAAGAAAATATACAATAATCCTAACATGAAAGCAGGAAAAAACTTCCCTACTTCACAGAAACAGAGAAAAACATTTGATAAGTAACTCCGTGAATAAGAATTAAGTCAGTGAAGGGAAAAAAAAGAATTAAAAGTGTGTAGACCGCTTGACCTGTAAGTTGTTTAGCTTGGATTCTAAAGAGTAAGAAGAGACTTGACCTTCATTGTAATCCTATTGGGACGCGACAGGATGACCTCGCGCGCCAATGCTTCCGAGGACTGAAGAAGGAGTATCTTGAGATACCCACTAAATAAAATTAACTGAGACAATTACATTGAAGTCCATCAAAAGTTGTCCTCCGCATGCGGACCGACTAATGAATTGATTTACCTACTGCTATTAAGGATTTAATTAAGAAGCGTTAAGCGTATGATAAGTATAAGATTTGAGTAAAGAATAACCACTTAATGTGTAAAACACAGCTTGTAGTCTTAAAGCTGGAGATTAAAAAACGTAATCTCGTCCGAAGGAAGTTAAATCATGACTGACATGCGTGCGTCCGGACGGCACTGACTCCATAAGTATGTGGATGGATAAATAATATAGGAAATATAATGTCCAATGCAGCTGTTTCCATAATAAGTTGCTCTCCGAATGCGTGGTACGTTTAACGGCCCTGTGAATTTGCTGATTGCATGTCAGCTGGAACGGCAGCAGTCGGAGGGTCGTCACCTGATGAATAATAGATATTCATTTCTGGTGCGGTGAAAATGGTCCTTGCGTCTGTCCCGTAAGAATTTCGGAGCAGCAAATTATAAATTTTTTGTTACCGAGTTCGTTGCAATGATCTCCAGCTTCTGGGGTCGTTGTTGGTGGGGCTTCCTGCTACACCAGCGGTCAAAATAATAATTCCGGGCTCAACCGGCAGACATAGGTCTGGCAATCCAGTCACGAGGGGCGGCTGCATAATAAATTCCGGGCTCAACCGGCAGACATGTGACTTCTTCCCCATCGCCGTCTCTAGACGTAGGTCTGGCAATACATTAGCGAGGGCGTCTGCATAAGAATTCCGGGCTCAACCGGCAGACATGTGACTTCTTCCCCATCGCCGTCTCTAGACGTAGGTCTGGCAATACATTAGCGAGGGCGTCTGCATAAGAATTCCGGGCTTAACCGGCAGACATTAGGTCAGGCAATCCAATAGCGAGGTCGGCTGCCTAATAATTCCGGGCTTAAACCGGCAGACATAGGTCTGGCAATCCAATAGCGAGGGCAGCTGCATAATAATAATAATTCCGGGCTCAACCGGCAGACATAGGTCTGGCAATCCAAATAGCGATGGACGGCTGCATAATAATTCCGTGCTCAACCGGCAGACATTAGGTCTGGCAAGCCAATAGCGTAGGCGGCTGCATAATAATTCCGGGCTCAACCGGCAGACATAGGTCTAGCAATCCAATAGCGTAGGCGGCTGCATAATAATTCCGGGCTCAACCGGCAGACATAGGTCTAGCAATCCAATAGTGAAGGCGGCTGCATAATTCCGGGCTCAACCGGCAGACATAGGTCTGGCAATACAACAGCGAAGGGCGGCTGCATAATAATTCCGGTTCTACCGGCAGACATAGGTCTGGCAATCCAATAGCGAGGGCAGCTGCATAATAATAATAATTCCGGGCTCAACCGGCAGACATAGGTCTGGCAAGACAGTAGCGAGGGCAGCTTCATAATAATTCCGGGCTCAACCGGCAGACATAGGTCTGGCAAGACAGTAGCGAGGGCAGCTTCATAATAATTCCGGGCTCAACCGGGCGGCCGATAGAATAATTTTTAGGAAGCAAACAATAGCGAGGGCGGCTGAATAAGTGGAGAAACGTGCGACTACAGAGGATACCCACAGGGAGGCACCAAATAATGAATAAAATAAACCGGTCATGAAAACACCGATGTGTACCACCCTTCAACGAGGAAACAGAAAAAAAAACTGTTGAAATACTATGTTAAGGAGATAATGAGTCTATTGGGGGGAATTAATAAGAATTAAATGGGGATAATCCGCTGGACTTAAGGTCTTAAAATTTAAGAAAGGCTTAACCCTAACTGTAATCCTATTAGCACGTGACTAGAAACTCGCGCGCCTAATTTAACGAGGACTGTTGAAGGAATAATGAATTCCCCCCTAGATGAATCGCACGAACTGGGAAATCTAACCAGCTTAATTATTTAGTACCGAATTAATACTCTAGATAAGTTATTTAGTGACGAGGAGGAAAATATAGGGGAAAACATAGTATCACATGATACACACAATCTTGTAGGAGAAAAATCGTAACTGTGACCAACTGTTTGACTGCAGAGAGACGAACATTTTATAAGATTTATAAGTTCTAGTAGTACAGGATTTTGTAATGTAGCGTATTAATAGAGGTTTATAAGTGTAATGATCGAGACCAAAACAGCCCAGTAAAAATAGAGGCCACTGCAGACAAAATGAAGGGAATCTATTACCTCGAATCATGTGTTGTCCTCCGATGATGTCGGACAATTAACTTTATTTTACCTTTGTGAATAAAGTTTTATTAATAATGCGGAGTGAAAATTATGTATGATAATGTATTAAAGAATAACCTCTTAGCGCGAATTTTTTTTTTCTAAGACTTGTGAAGCGGAGCGAGGCTGGAACAAGAAAGAACGCATGACCCTTCCTCTCTGCTATATATAGGCCCCCCGCGGCGCTCCGCGCGCTGCGCTTCGGATCGCGCTGTGCAACTGTCTTCTCCTCCATCAGAAATTCCTCCGCATTCCTACATAATGCAGCGGTTATTACATATTAAGCGCTTACCTTTAATGCTTATTATTATATACAAGTAACAAGTATAATGATCACATAATAAATGTAAATGGAGTTTATCCAAAAACTGGCAAAAGTCTTATGTTTTCTGACCCTCCGTCACTATGTGATGGAATGCGAAAAGATTTAGTGAATTTAGAGACGATTCTATAACCAATGTTCCAGCGATGTGCAAATATTTCATTCAAAATGATCTGCTACCAGAAATTTTAGTCAAATATCCCCAGTTTGCAAACTGTCGGTAGTAATTAAGTGATTGTAATCTATCCACCGCTGCCCACTGGATGGGGGGGGCGGTGTGCAGGACAAACATATAAATTTATCTATTTATTTATATACAAGAAGGTACATTGGGTTTGTGAGAATACATAGCATAGTACAGTAATTACACTCTTGTAAAGCCACTAGTACGCGCAACTTTTCGGGCAGGTCCTTAATCTAACAGATAATTTTAAGTAGGTAAATTCTATCAGAATTAATAAAATGATAACAAATACATTGCAAGAAAAAAAATGAGATGAGAGAGATTAGTAAGTATATTAAAGCACATTGGTATATTAAAGCTCTGATTGATTACATTGACAGCTTGATTGGTAATTTAAACAAGATTAATAGACACCATACAGCAGATTGACAGCACATATAAGAAGACAGCAATGATCACAATGATAAAGATGTTCAGATTGGGTACATAAAAATTGGGAGATTGGGTAGCAATAGATACAGTGCAATTTTAAAGCAAAAGGTAAAAAACTATGAAGATGAAATTAGGTACTTTTTAGTTGTGATAATTGTGACACTAGCTCTCCACATATGTCAGTTGCTTAATTTAGAAATTGTACTTGTGGTCGATCTCGAACCCATTGTTGATGTAACGACTTATATTGAATTTTGTAACTAGCTCATCAAAATTGTAACTTGCTTAGCTAAATGAGCTGTGGGGTTCAGTCCCATTATGTGCCTCTGTAACCCTTTCCACTACCGCCCACAAGATGGGTATGGGGTGCATAATAAATGAACTAAACTAACTGTTGTGCGTTCGATCATGTTTGTGGGCATTCAGGTGTGTTGTGTTTATGCTGGCGGGCGGCGTTCTTACCAAGCCTGAATTATGACCATCACATCACTAAACTTCATTTAATAACTATATGCCTGTTAAGAAGAAGATTGTAACTGTTAGTAGCATTATATTGTCGTTTTAATATTGAATATGTGCACATGTAGGAAACGTCTATAGCTGGTGTCCGAAATGGTAAAAATATTAGTGTGCGATGTAGTCAATGTACCAAGTGTCTTGTATCCGTTTGTGCCTACTAACCCGCTTCAAACAAACAAAAACAAACAAAGCTGATTAAAAGTCAAGTGAGAACATAAAATTTAAGACTGATCAATTAGCCCACATTAGCAAGTCTGGGTACAGCATAAGCATATCTTCCAATATTCCTGAGTATTAGGTAATTACAGAGCTCAAAGTAATTCTAAATATTATTGAACGTTAATACATATACGAAACGTACAAATTTTATGTCCGAAAAGGTAGGAATATGTGTGGGATCGTTGGTGGTCGCCCCAACATCAACAACCTGCTGGTGTGTACCAAGTGACTAGTATCGCCCAAGAGACGCTACGGACCACAACACCCGCCATGGTTCTCAGCCAGACCACCACAGACAACTCTCTCTTCCCTATTGTCGAGCTCATCGACGGGCTGAAGAACGACGATGTGCAGGTGGGCGGGGGGCGGTGAAGGTGTGAAATAAGGGTTGACCAGACTACACACTAGAAAGTGAAGGGACGACGACGTTTCGGTCCGTCCTGGACCATTCTTACAATCGAGTTGAGAATGGTCCAGGACGGACCGAAACGCCGTCGTCGTCCCTTCACTTTCTAGTGTGTGGTTTGGTCAACATATTTCAGTCACATTATTGTGACTCCTCGTCTGCACGTGAAATAAGCGTGTTATAGTGGGCCGCTCACATCGTTCTTGCATCCAACAACAACAATAATAATTCATTCATTCATTAAGTTCCTTCCATCTTTCCTTTCCCTTCCTTTCCTTTCTTTTCCGTTCCTACCTGCATGCCTGCCTGCCTGCTTCCTTCCTTCCTTCCCTTTCCTTCCTTTCTTTCTTTCTTCCTTCTTTCCCTCCCACCCTCCCTCCCTTTCCTTCCTTTCTTTCTTCCTTCTTTCCCTCCCACCCTCCCTCCCTTTCCTTCCTTTCTTTCTTCCTTCTTTCCCTCCCACCCTCCCTCCCTTTCCTTTCCTTCCTTTCTTTCTTCCTTCCTTCCTTCCTTCTTTCCCTCCCACCCTCCCTCCCTCCCTTTCCTTTCCTTTCCTTTCCTTTCCTTCCTGCCTGCCTTCCCAACCCGTTCTCGCACTTTCGTTAGTCAATATTGACTTATTAAATATGTACATATGTGACATACTTAACATACTAGTTTACCTTGAAAAGCTTCATAGAAAACACCGACCTTACCTAACCTTAGTATGTTAAGATAAGCATCTTATTGCTTCATAATTACAATTATTACTTCACCTATACCTATAATAGGTTAAGTAATAATTGTAATTACGAAGCAATAAGATGCTTATCTTAACATATTAAGAAGGTTAGGTAAGGTCGGTGTTGAAGATTTTCAAGGTAAACTAGTATGTTAAGTATGTCACATATGCACGTATTTAATGTCAATATTGACTAACGAAAGTGCGAGAACGGGCTGGCCTTCCTGCCTATCTGCTTGCCTGCCTTCCTGCAGGAAGATGAGGCAGTGCTTCCTTCCTTCCTTCCTGCCTGCTTCCTTCCTTCCTTCCTGCCTGCTTCCTTCCTTCCTGCCTGCCTGCTTCCTTCCTTCCTGCCTGCTTCCTTCCTTCCTTCCTGCCTGCTTCCTTCCTTCCTTCCTGCCTGCTTCCTTCCTTCCTTCCTGCCTGCTTCCTTCCTTCCTTCCTGCCTGCTTCCTTCCTTCCTTCCTGCCTGCTTCCTTCCTGCCTGCTTCCTTCCTTCCTTCCTGCCTGCTTCCTTCCTTCCTGCCTGCCTGCTTCCTTCCTTCCTGCCTGCCTGCTTCCTTCCTTCCTTCCTGCCTGCCTGCCTGCTTCCTTCCTGCCTCCTTCCTTCCTGCCTGCCTGCCTGCCTGCTTCCTTCCTGCCTGCCTGCTTCCTTCCTTCCTGCCTGCCTGCTTCCTTCCTTCCTTCCTTCCTTCCTGCCTGCCTGCTTCCTTCCTTCCTTCCTGCCTGCCTGCTTCCTTCCTTCCTTCCCTTCCTTCCTTCCTGCCTGCCTGCTTCCTTCCTGCTTCCTTCCCTTCCTTCCTGCCTGCCTGCTTCCTTCCTTCCTTCCTGCCTGCCTGCTTCCTTCCTTCCTGCTTGCCTGCTCCCTTCCTTCCTGCTTGCCTGCTTCCTTCCTTCCTGCCTGCTTGCCTCCTTCCCTTCCTTCCTGCCTGCCTCCTTCCCTTCCTTCCTGCCTGCCTCCTTCCCTTCCTTCCTCCTTCCCTTCCTTCCTTCCTTCCTTCCTTTCCTTTCCTTTCCTTTCCTTTCCTTCCTGCCTGCCTCCTTTCCTTCCTTCCATCCTTCCTTCCTACTGATTTCACTAATATCTTTGTCATCCTCTGTGTATGAACCTTCACTTGTACAAATAGGTCCAATACTGGCAGTGGTTTTTGCTTTTGATTTTGCATATGTGAAGAAATATTTTGGATTTTTCTTTATTTCCTGAATTGCTTTCTGTTCTAACTGCCTTTCTTCAGTTTGATACGAGTGTTTCAATTTCTGCTCGATTTCTTCAATCTCCCTATTTAAATTATTCCTTCTTTGACGGAAAAGTCGTGTCTGCTTAAGCATTTCCGTTATTTTTTTCCTTCTTTTATAGTGTCGTCTGCGTTCTCTTTCTACATTGGATCTCTTTCTGGCTTTCCTCAAAGGAACATGTTTTTTACTTTTTTTCAGTTATATCGTACTAAGACTAGGGAAAGGATAGGTCCATTAAAAACTGAGACAGGTCAAATAACAGATAGTGATGAAGAGATGAGTAGTATTTTTAATAAATATTTTGTATCTGTATTTACTAAAGAGGAACTTAACAATATGCCTTCAGCCGAACAAGTCTATGTGGGTGGGGACGAGGACAGGTTGACGAGTTTAACAGTTACCAGGGAGGATGTTCTTAAACAAATAGTAAAACTCAAACCAAACAAATCCCCAGGGCCGGATGAAGTGTTTGCCAGGGTGCTTAAAGAATGCAAAGAGGAGCTTTGTGACCCACTGTCAACCATATTTAATAAATCAATAGAGTCAGGCAGAGTGCCAGAGTTTTGGAAAGTTGCTAATGTGATACCAGTTTTTAAGAAAGGAGATAGATCACTTGCGTCTAACTATCGACCAATTAGCCTAACGTCTATTGTGGGAAAGTTACTCGAATCTATAATAGCAAATAAAATTCGTCTTCATCTTGAAAAACATAAATTAATAATTGAGTCGCAACATGGTTTTATAAATGGCCATTCATGTTTAACAAATTTGTTATCTTTTTATTCTAGCATTGTTGAGGCAGTTGATAGTGGTAAGGATTGCGATGTTGTATACCTTGACTTTAGCAAAGCTTTTGATACAGTGCCACATGAAAGACTGATTAAAAAGATAGAGTCTCATGGTATTGGGGGTGCTATATTAAGCTGGATTAGGGCATGGCTATACCAAAGGAAACAGAGAGTTAGTATAAATGGAATCAAGTCAGAGTGGGAAAATGTTGTAAGTGGAGTGCCTCAAGGCTCTGTCCTGGGACCTCTGTTGTTTATAATATATATAAATGATTTAGATTCAGGTTTGAGTAGCAACATTTGCAAATTTGCCGATGATACGAAAATCGGTAGGGAAATTAATTCGGAGGAGGACTCACTATCACTTCAAGTTGATCTAGATAGGGTTTTGAAATGGTCAAAGGATTGGCAGATGCAGTTTAATGCTGATAAATGTAAAGTTCTGAGGTTAGGTAATGATGATAGAGTTACAAGATACGAGCTAGATGGTGTTGTGATTGCGAAGTCGGATTGCGAAAGGGATCTGGGAGTTATGATTAGTAAGAATTTAAAACAAAAGGATCAATGCATAAATGTTCGTAATAAGGCAAATCGGACACTTGGATTTATTAATCGCAGCGTTAGTAACAAGACACCTGGTGTGGTTCTCAAGCTATATCTTGCTCTAGTTAGGCCCCATTTAGATTATGCAGTTCAGTTTTGGTCGCCATATTATAGAATGGATATAAATTCACTTGAACGTGTCCAGCGTAGGATGACTAAGTTAATTCCCCAAATTAGAAATCTTTCATATGAAGAAAGATTAACAAAGCTTAAGTTGCATTCACTGGAAAGGCGAAGAGTTAGGGGTGACATGATAGAGGTTTACAAGTGGATGAATGGACATAACCGGGGGATATTAATAGGGTATTAAAAGTATCAACACAGGACAGAACACGAAACAATGGGTATAAATTGGATAAGTTTAGATTTAGGAAAGACTTGGGTAAATACTGGTTCAGTAACAGGGTTGTTGATTTGTGGAACCAATTGCCGCGTAACATTGTGGAGGTGGGGTCCCTCGATTGTTTCAAGCACGGGTTGGACAAGTATATGAGTGGGATTGGGCGGTTATAGAATAGGAGCTGCCTCGTATGGGCCAATAGGCCTTCTGCAGTTACCTTTGTTCTTATGTTCTTATGTTCTTATGTTTCAGACAGACTTGATACACTTCTGAAATCAGTTTTTCTATTCCTTCTGTAGGACTTGTATTACTTAGAACAGTTCCCATGGAATGTTTGCAAGTTCCCTGTTTATTTTCTCCCAGTCTAGCCTTTTATTATTAAAATTGAATTTACTTAATAACCCCTCTCGCTTGATCAACGTTTTAGGTCTATTCTGAGTATTGATGGTCGTTTGCACTTTAATGAGCTTGTGATCTGAGTATGTGGTATCTGATATCGTAATGTCCCTGATAATGTCTTCATTGTTCGTAAAGACCAGATCTAGAATATTTTCATTTCTCTTTGGCTCTGATATCTGCTGATTGAGTGAAAATTTGTCACAGAATCTAAGTAGTTCTCTAATTTGTGGTTGGTTAGGTCCCGATAGATTCCCTGGTATAATATTGTTTGTTATTCTCCATCTGAGACTAGGAAAGTTGAAGTCACCTAGGAAGATAATATCAGGTATCGGGTTCTCCAAATTATCAAGGCTATTCTCTATTTTGTTTATCTGTTCTGTGGATTCCACGGCCGTTGCATCTGGTGGTTTGTATATTAGAATAATCACTAAGTTTATTTTTATTTTCTCTTATTTTTATTTCCAGTACCTCTACCACCTCATTTGTAACATTAAGGAGCTCTGAGCATACAAGGTCTTCCCTAATATACAGACCCATTCCTCCATGTGACCTAATTTTCCTATCACACCTGTATAGGTTATATCCTGGAATCCAGATTTCACCGTCCAAGAATTCCCCTGCATGGGTTTCTGTGAAAGCTCCAAATACTGCGTTTGACTCCGTGAGGAGACCATTTATGAATTGTACTTTGTTGTTTGTTCTTGGTTTTAGTCCTTGTATGTTGGCAAAGAGGAATGAGGTTACTCTATTAGGGATATTTGGACTGGGAGACTTTTTCGGCAAGCCCATTATGCTTGGACGTATTGAGTTTGTTCTGACCAGTGCTGATTGTTGCAGGGCAGTTGCCTGTCGTAGTTGTAG